TCATAAGACAAGAAACAAATCTGACCTTCGACCCCTCAGGGCAGAAGCTCGTCCGAAAGGCATTCACCATGTCCGATAACCACCTCCTACTAGCAATTGGGTCCTTCTCGCCAAAGAACTCAAGAGATCCACAAACACGAAACACGGGGAAGGAAAGAGTGCGAGCCCCCACCATAGCCAAAATCTCAGTGCGGAACATGCCCAGACGCTCATCCAAAATCCCCATAATCCCCTCCTTGACCAAACCGAAGATCACAGGAGTCTTCTCCAAAATACCACGGGTGATTTCCTATGAGAAGAACTATCGCATCTGCTCATAAATCGGCTCAGTACCAACCTCAAAGCCCGAACCTGAACCTGGACCTCCTCAACCCATGATCATCACCATTCTAAAAAGCAACCATACAAGAATCAGATTAGACCCATAAAATTCCTCATCCTACAAGCTTCCTAGAATCTCTGTGACCCTCCTTGATTCGAGTATGGTTCCTGTTCTTTCATTAGTATGAGCCCAATACTACCTTCCACACCTATCCATACTTTCCTCAAGAATTATCTCGAATCTTCTAAGTCACCTTCTCATATGGGTATTCTAAATACCTGTTAAACAGCGCATCCATACTCACTAAAAATTCTTCCAAGGCTCTCCTAGGTTCCCAACCTCACCCTTCCATCAGTTTTTGAAGATCTCCCACTAATTTCAGCTAACTACTACATGAATATAGTCACATACAACAAATCTTAGATAATCCTTCGAGTAAAAGACTCAACCCCACAATGGTTAGACTCAGACAAGAGTTGTGCAACAGAGCCAAATCCATCACTCTGAGATTATTTAACCTTTGTAGCATGTAACTTAATCCATTCACTCAATGGTTAACTCACACCAATAAGGGTCCCACAAAGCACAAAGCAAGCAGCATTCGTGCAGTAACACTCCAAGCCACAAATCAAACAAAGGATATCCCAATCTCACTTGCTACTACCATGTTAGGAACTTCTATTATCACTGTTGGTTGCCTTATGCATGCAAATTATACACAATACAAGATCAAATAGACAGTTGAATGAAAGACTCTACCCTAGGACCACAATCAGACAAGGAATAGAAAATAAGGCTAAATCAGTCATTATAGGGCTATATGATCCTAACTATATATAATTTTTAATGCATACTCTTAGCAATAACTTCTATCAATATAAATTCCAAATCTGTCATAACATTCAACTCCTTCTAGGCTACGAGGCATCACATATCAGGCAAATCTACCATGAAATTCTTGAAAGTATCCCTAACCTTATCCTAGCAAGTAAAGTTTCATATCATATAACATATCAACATGTATGGGTAATCTAGGAATCACTTACTTGAGCTCAACTGATTTCACGCATCACACCCCCTTTTTCTTTTAAAAAAATATTTTTAGAAATCATTTTTCTTTGAAAAGATTTTAGAAATCCCCAGTTTGAGTTCAAACACACCCGAGAGTGTGCCTGAATCCATCAAACCAATGATCTAATACCAACTTGTAACGTTCCAAAAATTCATAGTAAAATTTTCATTTTTAAAACAAAAATCATACAAATGAGTTACTCCAAAACCAATTAAAGTGAATATATTATTTAAACATCAGAGTACATTTTGAAAATTGCTAATGCGGAAAACTCTAGTGGATGTAGTGTAGTCACGTCGGGCTCTTCCCTTTTTGTACCGGAAGTACCTAAAACCATAAAAATAAAACAGTAAGCATAAATCTTAGTGAGTTCCCCCAAATACCACATACCATACATATAATAGAGATTGATATGTGGTAAACGTAGTCTTGATATTATGACATGGGCCATCTTATGGTCTTCCCTTGCCAGGCCAGGGGCCAAAACCTTAGGTCTTATAGACAAGTGCCAAGATCCACTTTCTGGTGTTCCATGCAAGTATTACAGAGACAACTATCATTCTACGTATAACTGCACATGTCCGTACCTTGGTCTGACATTAAAATTTTATGAGAGCTATGTCTAGGTCTTTCATACAGATGCGAGGGGCTACCCACTGGTCTTCCTATATAACATTATCCAGTGGGCCGGCATTGGTGCCTTCGACCCCTCGAGTACAGTAAGGAGATTCACTTGAATCATAAAGTCGACTAACATTCAGTTCAAACCGCACCGACCACAGCTAGCTGCTCTCTAGCCAAATGACGACTGTTAAACACTTCCTAACAATCCATACAACGCAAACCCTAAGCCTACCTTCTAAAATAGAGAATAACCAAAAGTCAACCTAAGCCAAAAGTCAACAACCCAATATGTCAATTATTTAGCCTTACATCGTGACTAGCCCTTGGTCACATCGTGAGAGCTCACTTAGTTTAATTCCAACTCATCTCGACTCAACCTAGTCATATCAATCAAGGAAAGTCACCTGAGATGACCTTATGATGCGAACAACCTTCTCTCATGTTGTGAGCCTCGAAAGCTCGATAGAAACATGATCATTCAACCCTCACGTCGTGAGACCCTATGTCTCATGTCATGAGCACAGTCTGAAGCCAAAAAAATCCAAAAATTGGAGTCCTTAATCCATTAATCCCTTTATCCAAACTTTCTTGAAGGCCTTATAACTCCATAAAGGCGATGCTTAATGGGCATGTATGTCTAATACATGTCTAGATCTCATTTGGGACCAATATTGAAAAAAGATCATCCAATTTTCATGCAAGGTTCCAAAACCCAACCATTCACTAGATTTAAACTTCATGGCACTCTAAAGACCTTTATAACCCATAAAGGTGCCAATTTTATGGTTTCCATTCATTCAAACTTGCTACTAAGAAGAAAAGTGGGACAAACTTAGTTCTAGACATAAACAACAATAAAGGTGGAAGCTTTAACAGTTACTAGGGTCCAAAAGCAATGTGAGGTGATGATGATGATGATGATTCTTTGCAAGCCTCTTACAAAGACCACCTTCTTCTTCTTCCTCTATTCTTCTCCAAACCAAGAAATGCTCCACAATGCCCAAGAACCAAGCACGGGATGAAGGCTAGGTTTTTTTTAGGTGAAAGAGGGTTTGAAGGCTGATGATGAACCCTAAAATTGGTTTGGAGGTGCTTAAATACGAAAAAAAAACCCCTAAAAGATCAAGGGCTTGGGCTACATCAGTTCTCACGTCGTGAACCCTTATGTCTCACGTCGTGAGACCAGTCACAAACAAAAGTTCCATATAAACTCATCTCACATCGTGAGCCTCTATGTCTCACATCGTGAGGCTCATTTTCATCCAAAATCTAACATTTTGACTCATTGAAACCCTAATTCGATTCATCCAGGAAAACAGGTGTTACATATATCTTATACATCAGATACACACTTAAAATTTTTATTTAAGATGTCTTTTTTTTCAAATATTTTATATTAATTATGACATTTTTTATAACGCAGTTCAGTTATGCGTCGATTTGGTGACCACAACAAACTTAAAAACATTGTTCTTTTCCTTTGATCAATTTTAAAATGTAAGACTTTTGCTTTGAATTTTATATTTAATGAGATCATAATATATATATATATATAATATATATATATATATATATATATATATATATATATATATATATATATATATATATATATGGAAAAGTGAATATACCCTTAAGAGTATATAAGCTTAGGTACCCAAACATGCCATAATAAGTCGTTTTGTTATATATTTATTATAATGTTCTTAAACATGAACCTCTAACTTGATTTACCGTCAAGATTTTTGAAATTCATTATTATCTTTCCCTTATATCACATCTTTTTGTCGAACACATATTAGGTTACATATATTGTAGTTGAAAATGAAAATTATGTAAGATGAAGATAAATATTTAATTTATAAAAATTATGGAAATAAATCAAGTTAGAAGTTATATTATAAGAACATTAGACAATTAGAATGTATTATATAATACAAAACGATGTAGTATGGTGAGTTTAGGTACCTAAACTTATATACCCTTAAGGGTATATTCACTTTTCTTATATATATATATATATATATATATATATATATATATATATATATATATATATATATATATATATATATATATATATATTATCGGGATTTTTTTTGTGCTATCCCTTACAAATTTTTTTGATTCCGCTACAATATATACATAAATTGTTTCATTTGAAGATCATACAAACCCACAAAATTAATAAATACAATTGACCATTTTATCCTTACATAAAAAAACAAATATTACAATATTAATTAGTTTCAACAATATTTACTAATTTTAACTCTTCCAAAGAGTTTGGTTGAATAATAAGAATGGCAAATAGGTAAATAGTTTGTCTTAATACATTAAGTCATGTTTTTTGTTTGGCTTAACTCATTAAAATATTCCGTACACAATACATTAATTCATATTTTTTTGTTTGCTTAACTCGTTAAAACATTCCTAACACACTTAATACATTTAGTCATATTTTTTTTGGCTTAAGTCGTTAAAACATTTTGTACACACTTATGTCCTAAAAAAGCTATACATAATTACATAAATCAAAGTACTCAAACCATTAAACTAAAAGTATAAAGGTTCTAAATATTCCGGTTAACAAATAATATAACATCTACGAAACTTAATTTTTGAGCATTAGAACTGTAATAAGCACCTCCAGTTTAGTCTTTACGATCCATCTTAAGTAAACAAAAAACAAAGTCAGTTACATAATTATATAAGGATCTACATGCTTATTAATTAATATGGTTAATTAATATACAATGCAAAGAATAAAAAAATATTTTTATCTATTTCAACATTTGAAGTTTGAAGTTGAAGAAGAAAGGGGTAAAAGTGGAAAGCAAATAATGGGTCCCAACAGTTGCCGTTAGGAATGGGCTTTCCGGCCGTCATGATTTTGACTCGCATCATACTGTTGACGTGTTTCCAGTTCAAGTAACGGATTCCGTTACGCTTATAAATACACCTCCCACAACCCTCCCAAAAAAACACAGATAAACACACACACACATATTCTCTCTCCCTCTCTCTCACACACATAGAAAGTCTGTAATTGGAAGTTAAGTGAAGATTGATTAAGGTGTTTAAAAATGAATGCGTGAAAGGGAAGTCACTATATATACAGAATCTCTGTTACTCCTTGTTTTTCTTCAGAGATTAATTACACTTCGATTTCTTCCACCTTCAAAAATGGGAAACAAAGATCACATTTCTTCTAGTTCCGCTCATGAACACCAAGCGCAGATCGAGAAAAACAGAATTGAAGCTGTTCTTCAACTCCTCCGGAAACCTGCTCCTCTCACTCTCAAACAGGTTTCAATTAAATCTCTCTCTCTCTCTCTCTCTCTCTCTCTCTCTCTCATCATCTTCATCTGGTTCCATACATTTGCGTATGTAGATTTCTGCTTCTGTTAATCGATTTGGATACTCATTAATCTACATTTTCAGGAGAAATTTTGTAATGAAGCTTGCATTGGGAGATTTTTGAAAGCTAAAGGTGACAATGTGAAGAAAGCTGCGAAGCAGCTTCGAGCTTGTCTCTCATGGAGAGAAACTCTCAGCATCGGTATATTTTCTTCCTTTTTTGTTCGATTTCTCGTCGTTGATAATCTATTCAGCTTATACTAATTTAATCCAGAACGAGATGATTTTACGTTTTGAAAATTGAAGAGAATGTAAAAAAACTACTTCTCAGTCTAATGGAACCTGTAACAATTACTTTTTTCTGTAGCTCTTTTGGATCTACCAATTTTTTTGTTGGAAATTGTTCTATATATCGACAAATATGTTCTTCATCATCGAGAGAACATATATTTTCATTTTAGACTATTTAAATTTATTTACACATATAAAGTTAGTGAAATTTAATTAGTTCGACCACATGTATTTCTAGTTTTGAAGCTGGAATAAATGAAAATGAAAAATAAGAATATAATACGCAAAAATATTCATGATGTGCTTGTGATTATAATATCATTGCACATGATTTGTAATTATGTCCATATAAAAGTAAAATTTACTTTTTCCACAGTATAATTTTGAATCTCCTCTTTTTATACATACATGCTTCTTTCGAAATCATACATATCAACCTTTATTTGTTCAAGCCTGTGACACGAGAGAATCTTGCTTTTCGGCTTTGAATTACTTGCTCCCATTAAAGTACTCAATATACTGTCTTCATGATTAAAGTAATCTATCCAAAAATGTAGCATACACAGTATATAGCAATAAATTTGACTCTATTTATTTTACTATTTTTAATTATTACAGATCATCTAATAGCCGATGAGTTTTCCGGCGAGATAGCCGATGGCATGGCTTATGTAGCCGGTCATGATGACCAATCACGACCTGTCGTGGTATTTTATTCTTATTCTCATTCAAAGTTAAATAATTCAGACTTGAGAGTACTGTTTAAACTGTTTAAATCAATCATATTTTGTCTTCTATTAATCATTATTATTGGTGATATTATCAGATTTTCCGAATCAAACAAGATTACCTCAAGTTTCGCTCTCAAAAACTGTAAGTTGTTTCTGTAATATTCCTTCTGATATCTACTGTTTAAATATCATCATTTTCTTGAATATTGCACAACATCTCTTTGTATTACAAGTGTTACAAATTGACATATCTTGTTTTCTTTTTATTAGTAATAATTATGAATCTTTTAGCAATTATAAAGTATAATATCAAATTTGAATTCAAAACATAATAATATCTTCAATCAGGAAAGAAAAGTTGTCAATGTTTTTGTAGCGAACAAATTTAAGAATAAAAACAAAAGAAAAGGTGAAAGAAAATCCTGCATGTTTTTTTTTTCTTCTACTTTCTCTCTCTATAATATAATAATATAATATGTATGTATTTTTAATTTTATTTATTCTAATCGTATAGGTTCACCCGTTTGTTGGTTTTCACTTTGGAGGTTGCAATTCAAACAATGGCAAAATCCGTCGAGCAGTTGGTTGTCTTATTCGATGCAAGTAAGTCTTTAGATTTGAATAAAAATAAAGTTCCATTTGACTATTGTTACATAATTTTAAAAATAGATTCCCTCCTTCCTTAATACTTTAAAGTTTAAACTCTACTTCCCAATTGGTCAAACATATTATTAAAATAAAACCTTTTTTTTTTACTGTGTGACATCAGAAATTTTAAACATGTCACTTATTAATTTTTTACTTGGAGACGATAGAGAATGAAGTAGGGGTATATTTGTAAATTCGAAAGAGGATCCTACGGATAAAATATCGCTGTTTCTTTAAACTAGCTTTACGTCAGTTGGATGTTGGAAATTAATGTACATTCTTCCAACGTTGTCCTTCCCCAAAACCCCGTCCTCCCTCTTTTTCACAGTCTGAAAATGCCCCTTTGCCACAGTGTCATGCCTATTCATTCCCTCAAATTTATTCTCTTTCTCTCACTTTTTTTTTTTAATTAATTTTTTAAGTCACGCCTAATGACATAATTAATGTGTTATTAGATCAAACTTTGATGGCGACTTATGTATCGGAAAACCGAACATTTTATCAGACTTGTTTCAGAAGTTGCTGAATTACCCTTATTGTCTCCTTTTTTTTTTGGGAAAAAATTTATGTTCATGGTTGATATATTATATTTTAAAAATATATTAATTAGATAACGTTTTATCGATGTTTTAACAGAAGTAAAAATACAATGTTATATAATAAATCAATCAATCGTTATACGGTGGAACTTATTTCCATTTGAATGTAAGAAAATGAGGCCTACAAAATACAAAGAGCATTATCTGATGCACAAATGACTTTAATTATCACATGTAAATTAATCATTTTAAAGTCAACCGCTTTATTTGGTGGCCATTAATATCATTGTTGACTATAGCTATCATGGATATTTGGTCCCAGTGACAACGTTAGTAACGACAACTCTAGTGAATACGAATCCATCAAAATCTTTTTCTAGTGCTTTTTCTTTTTATTTCAAATTTTCAAAATTGCTATATTCAAAAAAAAAAAAAAAAAATAAGTTTGTTTTCGATTTGTTTTATGCTCATAAAGAAAAAGAAACCCACATATTGTACATGACAACGACCTTATCACGTACACTACCTTAATTACGTTATAAATTATAATAAAACTAGAAGTTAAATTTTAGATAATAAAAACAAAATCAAGGACAAAAGATGGAGGGTAGTACTGATGGCGATAAATACACAGGCTTTTTCAGGTCAGCATCAGGGTTTATGAACATATTGGTGGCAGCACTGAAGACCATAGCGGAGCACTACCCTGGTCGTCTTCACAAAGCTTTTGTCATTGACCCTCCTTCCATTTTTCCATATCTTTGGAAGGTAATTTTATTTAATTTCTCTCTCAAATCTAATCAATACATTAATTAAAACAATTCAAAATAATAAATTAAATGTAACGATTAATTATGATGTCAATATGTAGGGTGTAAAGGCGTTTCTCGAACTTTCATCGATCACAACAATAGTATCCTCGATTGACTTTGATGAGTTCCCCGACTTCAATCACTTCACGACATACCCAAGAGCCGCATCACTCCGATTCAATCCTTCCTCAGTGCCATCCAAGGCCAAAGTCGGCTCATGCGCGTCCTCGCGCTTTTCCTTCACTGTCTCCCACCATTTCGACTCACTGAAACCCTGGTACCTCACTCTGACGGATAAACCGTCGTTCAGAGTGGGTCCTACGTCTACAGGACCCGCTCTGATATCACCTATCAATGCTCGGTCCTACTCGTTCGCATCACCAACCACAAGGAACATGAACACGATGAGGAAAAGCTTCTTCCCATCGACGCCGTTGCCACAAAAAACACAAGTGATGGACCACTCGGCCATCAACCACCCACGAACGCCTAAACCGTCGTTCCTACACTCACCTGCGCTTTTCTTTAAAAAGGAGTGTCACGTCAGCAAAACTGATAAATCGCGTGAATCTTTCATTCCGTTTTTGAGATTCTACAGACGACCATACGATGAGATGGTCTACAGATCGAAGATGAAGCCGCCTCTTGGAGGACTCATCTCAATTGTCTCGCCACAACTCATGAGGCGCCGCCACATGTCCGTCTCTCAACGGTTTTGATAGTAGGTATCAGAAGAAACAGATACAGAAAAAGTATCTGTGTGTTTGCCCTAACAGTAAAAAGACGAAAATCGTTAAAATGTGATTTTTCTTTCTCATAGATGATTATGGGAGACGGATTGGTGGTGTTTACTAAACGAGTACATAGATATGAGATTGACATTGACAATATCAAGTGTAATAATTAATATTAATATTTTTGAATTCCTATGTGGCAAGGCAAGTTAATGTTGGTATGTGTATGTCTGTAAGCATTGATTGTGTTAGAAATGTTACGAGAAAAAAAGGTGTAAAAAGAAAGAGACGACGTGCAAAATGGGATGTGAAATGGCGTGCAAAGGCTAAAAATATATATAAATTATGTGATGTGGGATGGGATGGATGGCAAAATGCATGGTACATAGCGTGGTCGAAACGGTGAACACACGCATTGGGAATCCAAATAAACAACTCATTCAACAAGATGAAAGTCAATTTTTTCCCTTGGTATTTTCTATTTGTTTTGTCATGGTTTTAATAATAGAATATGGTTTTGTTTTTTTACATTTTAGACTCATATGTCACATGAAACTCCACTAATTAATATTTTATATTTAATCGTATTTTTATTGCTTTAAAGTTTTTTATCAAGGAATATAATTCTTTATTTTGACTCATCTCATGTAAAAATTCATTAATTACTATACTTTATATTTCATCGTTATGCTCTTTGTATTATAATTCACCATTATCGAAAATTTATGTTGTGTAACTTGACATATAGAGTTGCTAGAAATATGGAAGCATCACAGTTACTTTACATACTTTTAAAAGACCTAAATACGTAAAATATCAACGTACATTGCTTTATTTGTGTATATGTTGGTAATTAATTTCATTGTTTTACTTTTACCATATAGTATCGTATTTTCAGTGAAATCTATTTTGTATTTTAATGATGCTAGCCGATCCAAACAAATTCAATATCTAATAGTCTAATACTATATTTTAGCTGTAGCATATCTAATTTTGGCTTTTTACAAGTATTCACATGTTAGTGCAATGTTCGAAAAAATAAAGATAAAATTACAAAAATGATTATCTAGTTTGTCGAAAATTGTCATTTTCATCTAAAAAGTTTTGGTCTTTCCAGTTCAAAATTTTGATTTTGTTATAACTTTTGTCCAAAAAAATTTAAAACTTTTTATAACAATTTATAAAGGATTTGCCATATATATATATATATATATATATATATATATATATATATATATATATATATATATATATATATATATATATATATATATATATATATATATATATATATAGACACTTTAAAATTTTTCTAATTAAAATAAAACAAAAAAGAAGTATTTAACCCTACTTCCTACTACCCCACACATACCCCTCTTAAAAATCTCTCTCTCACACACACACACACTTTCTCTCTCTGTCTCTCTCTCTCTCTCTCTCTCTCTCTCCCTCTCTTCATTCTTGTCGAACCACCACCTCGATCAGACAACCGCCGACGCCAGACCACCATCGCTTGCTTGACCACCACCATCAGATGGACCATAACCGGCAACCAGACCACGCTAGTCACCAGATACTCCTCTTTTTATCGAACCACCCAAATCACCTCCGCCAATGTATATCTGAACCACCTTCATTGCTTTCGTTCATCCGGATCTATAAGGTCGTTAGATTTCACCATTGGGTATACCATTAAACCCTTCGTCTTCTCTAGCAAACTCTGGCAGCAAAAATCAAATCCCATGACAACGAAAACCTAACACTAAGAGTTTCAGGTGGCGTCGACGTTCGTCAAGTTTGTCGGACCACCATTGTGACCAGAGATTTGCAATCATAAAGTGTCACCGAAACCACCTGTGTAACCGAAAATATGTTCATCTTACCAGTTTCGAACTACCTCTGTCTTAGACCCACCCTTGAAACACCAAATCCCTTGAAACATCGCTATCTTCGTTGTTAGATTTTCCAGATCTCGAGGTTGTCATTGGAGTGAGTTAGGGTTTGCAAATGGTGAACATTTTTCGACGCATATAAGCATCATCATCGAGTTAGATTTTTCAAACATTGAAACCTATAAGTGTAATTGTGAAGATCTCAGGAGCAAGGGTTTTAGAACCCATCGTCTATCCTTAGTTTTCGGAAGACAAGTGCTTTGCGGCAACAGATCTAGCTTCCGACGATGGAGATGTAATGAACCCTAATCGAGTCGCAGAAGATGAAATATGACGGTGGCGATGGTGGTTTCTAGCCGTGGAGGTGGTGGATTTTTTGATAGTTGTGATGGTGGTTTCCGACAGTGGCGGTGGCAGTGGTTTTTGGTAGAGAAAGATGGAGTTATTAAGAGTGAGAAGTGGTTGGGTGGGTTGGTAATAGGTAAGGATAGGATGATTCTTTTTCTTTTTCTTTTTTTAATTTAGAAAATTGTTAAATTAAATAAAAGAAATAGAAAATGAAAAATACAAAGGACAAACTTGTCATTTAAAAAAAAAATCAAAATAGATCGGTGGTGTACATCTCAAACTTTTTGAATCAAAGTGATAATTTTCAACAAGCCATAGACATCGTTTTTGCAATTTTGTCAAAAATAAATAAAGCTGGTACTAATTCACGAATAACTATTTTAAAGATAATTTCAATCATTTCAAAATAGAAGAAATGGCAATAAAAAATCACTAAATTAATCAAAAATTTCGATATTCACGCCACATTTTTTTTCTCAATAAATCACTATATTTATAATTTTATTGGAATATCAACTAAATGACTGGTTCCCTAACTTCTCATGGTAACCACTTTTCCGGAATTGCAATAAAGTTACTAAGTTTAAAAAAAAAATCGATTTTGACATTTTGTTTTATTTTTCTTAATTATGTCATTATATTTTCTAACATCCCAAAAATTATAAGGTAAAAAAATTCATTTTTAATTCAACCATAAACATAATTTATCTTTTTCAACCATTCAAAAGTATATCAGAGTAAAAATAGTTATCAAAATACAATCTCAAAATCATAAAGTTGCAGAAACATGGGTGGATGCGTTGTGATCAAGCCGGACCCTCCCCATTTGAACTGGAAGTACCTGAAATCATAACCATAAAACCTTAAGCACAAAGCTTAGCGAGTTACCTAAAATACCACATACCATACACATCCTTGGGCCTAGCCCTCATATTGGGCCCAACCCATAATAATGATCCTCGCCCTTTCTAATCAATAGTCCCAACCCAACATACAAACAGGCCTAGCCCTTCATATCATGGGCCTATCTGAACATATAATACGCCTAGCCCAACATACAATGGGCTTAGCCCAACATACTATGTACGAGTCAAAAAGACAGCTAGCATATAACATGTTCTGATGGGTTAGTATTGGTGCTTTCGACCCACGGTATAGTTAGGAGCCTCACCTCAATCTAGAGATAACCGAAACACACATGTTGCTGCTACTGGGCTCCTTACAGTGAACACAACCAGATTATCCATAATCAATAATTAAAGCAAATTCCCAAAAGACCCAAGGCCCAAAAGTCCTAATAAGGCACCTTGGTGCGTATGCCCCACATACCACCTCAGCATGCCCAGAGTACAATGTACAAGCCCAAATTCCACTTTTTGTTCTTAATGCTTTAAAACAAAACATTAATCTTTAGGATCTGATTCTGTTGGGGCATCCTCATTCATAAAAGTTCATGCCTTAATGGTTCCCAAACCAAAGCCCTAACCCTCAAACTTCATCAAAAGACCACCGACTCATTCATGGAAGGATTATACTCATCAAGATCCGATTTTCATGACTTAATGACCTCAACAAAGACCAAATATGAGGCTCAAAGGTTCTGGAGCAACTTCTACTCACAAGAACCACAACCATGGGACCAAAACATGACAAATCGTAACATCCCGACTCCCAGGTATTTATTTAAAATCTTTTATATTCATAATTATTAGGGCTGTGCATGGGTCAGTTTTGGACCCCAACCCAACCCAACACGTAAATGATCGGTTTCTGGTTTTCAGAACCCAATAGGGTCGGTTTCTGGTCGGTTCGGTTTCTCGGTTTCTGATATCGGTTTGGGCAGTTTCTCGGTTTCTTAGGTTCAACCCATATACTTACGGTTTCTAGGTTTAAACCCATGGGTTTTGGGTTTGAACCCATTTTCCAGAAATGTAACAATTAGTTAAATAATTAAAAAAACACCTTTTATTTATTTTTATTTTTTTAATATATATATATATATATATATATATATATATATATATATATATATAAACATAAAATAATCAGTAAAAAGCATTGGGTTTGCAGGTTTGTTGGGTCGGTTTATTGGTTTTAAAGAGGGGTCGGTTTCTCGGGTTGTTGGGTCGCTTTCTGGAGGCAAAACCGAAACCGAACCCGGAAAGTCGGTTTTTACAAATTAAAAACCCACACCGTCAGTTTTGATTCGGTTTCGGTTTCATCGGTTTTTGTCGGTTTCTCGGTTTCTTGGTTCGGGTTTGCTCACCCCTAATAATTATGGACCTGCTCGACAAGTTGGTTGCCCCAACTCGTCGTGTAGAAACTAATAAAGCCGCATGAATTCTAGAACCTACTCGACGAGTAGGAGGACCCAACTTGACGAGTAGACGTTGTGCATGAAAAACCTAATTTTTAGGGTTCGCACCCTATTTAAAGGACCTTAAGTCCTTTCCCCCAGCCACCCTTGCCACCTTTTCATCGTTCCCTTACCCGAGAAAACCCTAATCTCCCCATTGTATGAGTATGTAAGCTTGGAAGTCATATTGGGTGCTCTTTTGAAAGGAAATTTGAAGGTTCAGGAGCTTGGATCAAGAAGAAGGTTGTAGATCCGTTATCTACTTTGTATTAGCAACCAATCTGAGGTATAAAGCTAAAACCTTGACTTTTCATTACTTAGATCTTCCTTTGTGAAAGAAATGGTTATTTATAGTGAAAAGTGGAGTCACTTTCGGATTTGAGCTTGTCACAAGGACATGGTTTCAGATCTAGACTCCTCTAGGCCCTCTTTAACATAAAGCCTCAAGCTTTATGAAGATTTGACCCTTCTCTATACCCTAAACTTCTTCGTAGACTTAGCTTTGGTGTTTAAGACTTTTAAGACCTTGCATGCACGTAATGTTAGGAACTTTACGAGGTAACTGTTGGATTACATGTCTAAGCCCATAACTATAATTGGTATGTACTTGACCCGATGGTAGCATGGTCCTTTTGGGTTGCCTTCACCGGAGCAATTTGATAGGGTGGATATTTGAGAAAGAGGTTATTTGTGATTTATTAATATATTATAGGAATAATATATTAATTGAGAAATCATATTATTTAATTGGTATTGATCAAGAATTAATTTGGAATTAATTTAATGATCAAAAGAGACTAATTAAATTTATGGGAACTGATTAGGTAAATCAGTAATACTTATAGTTTGGGCTAATGATCCATGTTGATTAGTGATGGAATAAACCTCTATGAGAGTCCATGAAGGTTAAGTCTAAAGGTCCTATGAAATATGAGGAGTCATGGTGAATTAGGGTTTACATTTAAGAAACCCTAGGAATTCCACACTATAA